TAAATGAGAATGAGGTGTGAATGAACTTCTTTTTTCTGTGTTTGCTTGTGAAAATTACTTGCGAAAATCTGTGGACATTGAAATTCCCTAAAACCAAATTCCCTTGACGAAATACTGGGTGTCCATAAAAGATTGCAACAGTTTCAAAGAAATTAATAGCTCAGTCAATAATCGATGAAATGCCGTAATTTTTGCATCAGAATGAAGGGGAACACTGGGAGTTTATTTACAAACCTAATTAGGTATTGATGCGAGCACCATTCACAGCTCGACAGACATCAAAGTGACGCTCTACCTCTCCCCGTGTCCTGTCGAGTATTTCTGGTGTGATGGTTGCTGTTGGCGGTTACGATTCCCTCTCGCAAATGGTCCAGGTCGCGGATTTTTTTTTTGCGTAGGCGATGTTTTACACATATCCCCGGAAGAAAAAATCCAGCGGAGTTAAATCTGGACTACTTGGAGGCCAGGCGATTGGTCCACCTCGTCCAATCCACCGATTTGGAAATCCCTCATTCGGGGAATGCCTGGGGAAGTGGGGCGGGGCACCATCTTGTTGGAAAACGATGGCACTTCGACTTTCTTCTTCGATGTCATCAACTTGGGGGAAGACAAATTGTTCTAGCAAATCAAGGTAATTATTCCCGGCGATCGTGTTTTTTGCTGAAAATTATGCTGTACCGTAATGAATGACTTCGTCTCCGCATACCAAAGCACGCATTGAGCCTTCTTCTGAACGGGGTCCATTGTACTGATGGGGGTGAGGCGCGCCAAAATCGGCGCCAATTAGGAAATTCCCTTTCGCGCGTATTTCGAGCTGCCAGCGACATCTATAGCGGGATATAAATAAACTCCCAGTCTTCCCGCTTCATTTCGATGCAAAGATCACTGCGTTTCATCCGTTACTTATCGAGTTCTTAAATTTTGAAACTTTTGCATTCTTTTACGGACACCCTGTATTTTTGGGCCACCCAATATAATTTCAGTACATAGGGCTTACGAATTCTCCAGGGAAATATAAGCAGCGAAACCATCAGCAGTTGAAAACTGGCGATTTTGTCATGACGATGCAAATTGTGCGATTACTTTATAATGGGGATATCCCTGAGATGATGTTGATTGATACGATGCACGAATTACGCAGGGGAATGACGTAACTATCACATGACGGTAATCTCTTAACCGAGGTGCCATTCTCGCTCCAGGCAAACATCGTCAGCCGATCATCAGCTGATCACCAGCTGATCGGCCGTGTCACCCAAAATCTGTCACCATTTCGCATGCATCGTGACATCCATGGCTTTTTCATTTAAAATCAAGGTAGTCATTCCTCTGTCGACGAGGACGTGGAATATATGCGACGTTCGGGGTTACAAGGTTCCCGATGATTGTGCGCGTCGATTCGCCTGAGTGGACGGTTTGGGTCACTTAACAGGAGCACTTTTAGCGCCAACCCACCAAGATAAAGCTTAGTCCGTCCCAGAAAGTCCAGTACCAGCTGCTAAAGGTGAGGTTTTTTTATATACACCAAGACGGCAGGTTCCCAACTTTATGCTAGCATTACTTACCTCGGTATAATAGTTTATAATATTTTCGAATAATAAATTTTATAGGTGGAGGACCCTAAAAAGGGCTAAAACAACGATTTGGCTCCTGCCAAATCTCAGTTTTCGCCCATATTCAGTTTGCTCTATCTCCTAAACTAAATTGCACGGATTCCTGAAAATAATTCGTCGCTTACTTCAAAGTGCGAACTTTGTACGCATATGGAAATGGGCTGGGATAATCCTTAATCCATTGGGAATGGGAATCCCGATTCCTGGGGGGAAACCAAATCTTCCAGGTTCTCACTTTCCGCCGACTGAAGGAGGTAAGACAACTTTTCTTTTTCCTGGAAATTCAAATTCGTTCTTGGAATCGATTTTCCGTTGACGTCCAATTTTTTTTCCTTCTCATGAGATTTTCGGTCGCATTTGGGACGTGGAATTTGCGTCCACTGCTCGTAAAATCTTTTTGCCACTCGAAATGCTGGAGGAAAAATTGAAATATTTCATCGGTATTTTGCGGCTGGGCTTTCATTACTTTCATTAATTTCTTCACGCTTTTTGTGCAAAAAAAGGCCAAAAAATGGCAGAAATGTTGCGCAAATTCCGATTCTCATTTTTCATGCGTTGGGCGTGCGTCACAGATTAATATATGATAATAATAATGGTATTCCACGTATTCCGGACCTTTTGGTTTGATTTTAATTGTTTCCGAATGAATGAATCGGGAATTTATTTATTTTTTTGCTTTCGCAAGAAAAAATAGATCTCGCATTCGGCCATCACAAGTGGTAAATTTTAATGACTTGTTGAAATAATTCGCTCGAGTGTCTCATGAATTTTTGAAAGCGCAACATGTCAGTTTATTTTTTTTCCATTTCCTGATGAACCGGACTGCTCTGATGTCATGGCTTCATCTTCCGAGAAACAGATCCTTCGTGCCAGTTGACTCTTCCGAGTAGGTTGCTCCGTACAATCGCACTTGACGAGGAGAAAATGGGAATGCAGCCTTACCTATTTATTTTGCTGAGGATTTTCTTTTTGCGAGAAAAGAGAAATACTGTCACATGTCCAGTCTTCCCCCTCCTACGCACACGATGAACGGCTCAGAAATAAATCAGTTTTTTTTTTTGAGGAGCTGAATGATCGACGTCGACACAAAGTCGACCACGAAGGAAAAGTGTGCCTTTTTCGACGCCTCAAAGGAGACGTCGAGAAACCTATCGTCTACCTTCCAGCATAGGATCATTAGTGGGTTTACTCGACCATAATCTCAAAGGAGCCAATTTTTTCCAAAATCTGGGGGGTCGCATGCGACATCTAGCGACTGAGGCCGTAAGCATATGCCAGGGGTCAGGTCGCCCCCCCTCGCCCCCCCTCGCCCCCCCTCGCCGGGATCGCATGCTTTCGCTCTCTAGCCCTGACATCGGGTGACGTGCACCAGATTCGTTTTAACTTTATTCTGATTCGTTTTCGTAGTGGGCCTCTATGGGAATATGTTTATCTCGGTTCAACTGATTCCCATTTGGGTCGATCGTGAGATCAGATTAGTTTAGCTTAAACGGATTCGGTGCATGTCGATTAAGCTGGAATCGCGCCGGGCCGGAAAAGAGATCCGTGGCCCTTGCGCGCCCTTCGTTACGCCACGGGGCATTTAACGAGGAAGGAAGAGGGAAACCCCCAAGGACGCATCCCGCTCACAAAATCTCCTGCTTTTTATTTTCCTTACCTGTCTTATACCGACTGTGGATAGGGCGGGGGGAGGGGGCGGAAGGGAGAGGGGGGGCGGAAGGGAGAGGGGGGGGGGAGGGAGAGGGGGGGCGGAAGGGAGGTTTGTCCTCGTGAAAATCGCGGTTGGGTGGTTCTATTTCGAATCAGGCAGGGTCTTTCAGGTCATGGTCGACGATTTCCACTCCAAAAAAATATATGTGGTTCTGCCGTCCAAGGGTTGAAATACGATACATTACTTACCTCAGTATAATAGTTTATAATATTTTCGAATAATAAATTTTATAGGTGGAGGACCCTAAAAAGGGCTAAAACAGGGATTTGGCTCTTGCCAAATCTCAGTTTTCGCCCATATTCAGTTTGCTCTATCTCCTAAACTAAATTGCACAGATTCCTGAAAATAATTCGTGGCTTACTTCAAAGTGCGAACTTTGTACGCATATGGAAATGGGCTGGGATAATCGTTAATCCATTGGTAATGGGTATCCCGATTCCTGGGGGGAAACCAAATCTTCCAGGTTCTCACTTTCCGCCGACTGAAGGAGGTAAGACAACTTTTCTTTTTCCTGGAAATTCAAATTCGTTCTTGGAATCGATTTTCCGTTGAAGTCCAATTTTTTTTCTTCTAATGAGATTTTCGGTCGCATTTGGGACGTGGAATTTACGTCCACTGCTCGTAAAATCGTTTTGCCACTCGAAATGCTGGAGGAAAAATCGAAATATTTCATCGCAATTTTGCGGCTGGGCTTTCATTAATTTCATTAATTTCCTCACGCATTTTGTGCAAAAAAAATGTCACGAAATGGCGCAAATGTCGCCCAAATTCCGATTCTCATTTTTCATGCGTTGGGCGCGCGTCACAGATTAATATATGATAATGATAGTGGTCTTCCACGTATTTGGTTCCTTTTGGTTTGATTTTAATTGTTTCCATTCGAATGAATCGGGAATTTATTTTTTTTTTTACTTTAGCAAGAAAAAATGAATAGTTGAAATTATTCGCTTGAGCGTTTCATGAATTTTGAAAGCGCAACATGTCAGTGTTTTCTTCCATTTCCTGATGAACCGGACCGGCTTGATGTCATGACTTCATCTTCCGAGAGACGGATCCTTCGTGCCAGTTGCCTCTTCCGAGTCGGTTGCTCCGCACTTGACGAGGAGAAAATGGGAATGCAGCCTTACCTATTTATTTTGCTGAGGATTTTTTTTTTTTGCGAGAAAAGAGAAATACTGTCGCGTTTCCAGTCTTACGATGAACGGCTCAGAAATAAATCAGTTTTTTTTTTTTGAGGAGCTGAATGATCGACGTCGACACAAAGTCGACCACGAAAGAAAAGTGTGCCTTTTTTGACGCCTCAAAGGAGACGTCGAGAAACCTATCGTCTACCCTTCTGTCGTGGCCCTTGCGCGCCCTTCGTTACGCCCCGGGGCATTCAACGAGGAAGGAAGAGGGAAACCCCCAAGGACGCATCCCGGTCACAAAATCTCCTGCTTTTTATTTTCCTTTCCTCTATTATACCGACTGTGGATCGGGCGGGGGGAGGGGGCGGAAGGGAGAGGGGGGGCGGAAGGGGACGATCCCGGGTGTCGTCTGGTGCTTTAATTATTATGAAGATTGCACGGAAGTGGATTCGGCGCCCAGCTCTGAAGGCGATGGCGTCGAGGAACCAGACAATGAGGAAAATGAGGAAACGTGCAGACGAAGTGCGTGGAGTGGAGCGATAGATGATCGCGATTCGCTGGACCGGGGCATACCGGTTCTCCTCGGGCGGATGGAGATTCGAAGGTCGTCGCGTGATGGGCGTGCAGTCGTTATCTGTGGAGCGTGCGAGTGCGTGAGCGGTGCCGTCTGTGTCCGACTTTCCGTGTCTCTTCGGGTCGGATGCTGCGAATGAGCTCGTCTGCTCCGTCATGGTAAGACGAGAAACTCGCGGATGTCGCGGAACGCGTGCCTCGCCCTTATCCTACGGAGAACCGTTGAGCGTATTCCTGAGGTCGAGCGCGTGACTTAACGCAAGCCCAGTCCCGTGCACTAGGGGCGTTCCGAAAGCCATTGCCGAGCACCTCGAGCACCTCGAGCACCCCGTGCACCTCGAGCACCTCGAGCGGTCGGAACGAAAAAAATGAGGCCGGTTGCCGCTCGTCGTCGTGTTTAGACCCTTGTCCTTCGCCCTCGGCCGTTTCGTGGCCGTGCAACTCGCCGATGTCGAAATCGACATCGGCGATCATTTTCTCGTCTCTGTCTGGACCGGATCAGAGCCGGATGCGAATCTCGGGATGAAGGAGTAAAAAGCCACGGAGAAATTTCTCGCGGCTCGTGGTGAGAAACGCGTTCATCGCTGGTTGAGGGAGGGGTGCAGGGTCAATTGCCTTGCTAATTGCCATGCTAATTGCCTTGCTAATTGCCTTGCTAATTGCCTTGCTAATTGCCTTGCTAATTGCCTTGCTAATTGCCTCGTCGTTTGCCTTTCGGCAGGGAGTCCACCGAACACGATTTGGTAGGCCAAAAAACCCTCGTGACCGAAATTCGGTGCTCGTTGAAATCGCCTCTCTGCCGGCAATCATCCCGCAGTTCGACCCGATTCTGAATTCCGAATTCTGAATTCTGAATTCCGAATTCTGAATTCTGAATTCCGAATTCTGAATTCTGAATTCCGAATTCTGAATTCTGAATTCCGAATTCTGGGGAAATGCACTGTGAGCAAAAGGGAGAATTCGATGGAAAATTGCTGAGTCAAAAAATGCGAGAAATTCCGGTGACGAAGGCCTTTCATCGGAAAGGACGAGGCTCGTTTCGGCCCAGCCGGTTCCAAGCGGCAATATCATCGCAACGCCTTGAAGCCGCGGCCAGGAACCTTTTTTTTTTTTGGCCATGTGAGCCAAACCTTTGAACCAAAAATGAGCCTTTTTGTGAGCTAAGATTGAGCTAAGTGCTCGGGAGCAGCAGAATTGAAGTTTGGCAATGGACAAGTGAATTCTTTGACGCGTGAGAAAAATGAGGAAGAACCATGACTTTTCTCCGTGACTCGTGAGCCAAACTTGGCTCACGAGGCAAATCTGGCTCACGAGGCAAATTTGGCTCACGAGGCATCGGTTCCCGACCCCTGCCTTTAAAAGCTCTCCCCCTAGTTGCGAAGAAATTTCGTTTAAAAAACTCGCCGACAGCAATTTCGTGCCTCATCCGGACAACGCACTGCCCGTGCTCCGAAGGAGACCCTGGCCGAGAGGAGCATTGGAGGAGCATCGAGAGGAGAGGAGCATCGAGCTCCTCTCCATGCTCCTCTCCTCCTTTTACTAAAAGACTCGCCATCGAGAACCTCACGAGCAATGAGGCAATCGGCAATCAAAACCGCGAATCGCCGCGACCGTTTCTCGCCCCGAAAGCCTGACGACCTCCTCCTGCCGCAGATCGTGGAATAAAAGAAGAATTTCCGGCGGAGGAAGAATGAGGATTCCGATCGCGAGGGGATGCTGCTGCCGGTGCCTCAGCAACAGGGAGGGCAGCATCGTCATCGCCGTCTTGGGACTGGTATGGGACAATTTTACATTTATATATTCCGCATGTATATTTTATATTTTATATATTTTGCATTTATATTTTATCTGTTATATATTTTGCATTTATATTTTATATTTTATATATTTTGCATTTATGTTTTTTATTTTATATATTTTGAATCTATTAATACTTGAGGTTTAGAATGCACTGGCCAAATTTTTGTGGAGTCTCTCCCGCTCCAAGGAGCAAAATTCGTTGCGTGACTCCCGGCTTAACGCGACTTAACCTAATCTGGCCTTTCTGAAGAACCTTAAGTGATTCTTGTGACACGGGTAACTTTGCCCGAATGTTCGCATGGGTGATCCAGCCGGTCTGTCCGGCGAGCAGGTTCACACGGGACAGAGCCGAATCGCAAGCTGAAATTGCCTCAGGAAAATCCTTAAGCGATAATCGATTTTCATCCCGTTGTGACGCGCGTGCGGATTCGACTAAGCTGGTCGACTCGGGTCGACCCCGGGTCGCGGAGGGGGGGGGGGGGGGGGGTCGTTCTCATCCGAAGAAATTCTTTTCTTGCAGGTCGAAGCCGTCGGCTCCATCCTGTCGATCTTCCCGCATTTCGTCGACCTGTCGGTCGTCGACATTAAGTTCCCCATGAGCGGTAGGTTCTCGCTGAATTCCCCGAAATATTTCGAAAAATATTTCTATAAAATTTCCTGCCGGAGATTTCCTGCTTCTCTGATGGTATTGCTGACCCACTGTTTTTTTTGCCTTTCAGGAAACATTTACGTGAAGATTACCATCACCGTAGTCTCCGCCATATTCGTCATGATGAATTCCCTTCTCATCCACGGAATCCGCAAGGTTCGTCTGGAAAGCCCTGTCAAAACTCCCAAATTATTTCCGGACAATTTTCGGACGAACCTGAATAATTTCGAAATTTTCCCTAAAACGTTCTAAAACGTTCTAGTCGAACCGGAAGCTGATGATCCCCTGGCTCTGCGCGGCGTTCCTGTTCCTCGTCCTCATGGTCCTGGCCGCCGTCGCGCTGGCCATCCTCACCGTCGTCGTCGGCACGCGCGACCCCAGCTGGACCGCCCACCTCGCCGTCGCGACCGTCGCCCTCGTCGTCCTCTGCCCCGTCGGGGCCCACTTCTTCCTCGTCGTCTACACGCATTTCAAGGTGAGGGGTCTTCCGATTCGGAAAATCGCGGCTGAAGTGTTTTCGCAATTCCCGCAGGTTCATCGGATGTATCGTGAAAACTCACAGTCGTAATTTTTTTCTGATGAGGTATTTGCCTATGAAGAATATTCGAGACGATACACCATATTTGTCACGCTGAGAGAATTGCATATGTGCACTCGGCTCAGCGGGAAGACCAACTCCTCCGTTCGGAGGCATAATTCTTAACTATTTATTTTAAAATAACACAAATGTGATGCGAAGTTTCGAATTCATTATTCGACGCATGAAATCGGATATTACGGTTTACTTATAGAATTATCATTTATTGTTCATCCTTTCCGCATGCATCCTTTTACATTTCCTTCTTTTTGTGGCAATTGTGGTTGTTGTTTTTAGTCGCTATATGAATTATAATTTAATAATAAATAATAATAATATTCAAGCATGTAAAACACTTAGTGCGAAGTGCTTTCTGTTCAATGACTTCATGGACACTCGGTATTTTCAATTGAAAAAAGAGAAGTTTTCCCATCCTTAACAGTGCACTCTCACTGGAACCAGTGGAAACGATAAAAAATATATTTGAGGACTGCAACTTTATTGTAGAAAAAAAAAATTCCCCATCACTTTTTAATGTAAAATCTGGAATTTTTTATGTAGCTTGAAAACCAGTGTAGAAAATCCCAGCATCATCCTTGAGAATCCCTATGCTTTTTTTGCTTTTTTTTTATAAACAATATTCCAAGTGACTAACAACTATCTTAAAAAGTAATTCTTGAGCAGGGGCTGAATGCATTCACTGGAGAGTGTTTCGTTTATTCCACGATGAGAATACATGACGGAAACACTGATGACTGATGACTGACTTACGATGAAATTCCAGGAACTCGAGAACTCGGAGAGAGACGGAGAGGGCCACGAAAGGATTCGTTTCAAAGAGGCCATCCACAGCAACCCGTGAAGCGAGAAGTGGATGCCATCGTCCACCATAGTTTTTCCCCTCCCTGCGCTGCCGCGTATTCCGGGAGATGCCGAGCGTCCCTCCTCGATCCTTCTGCTTCGCGGGTTTCTTTTTCACTCGACTCGGCTTCGTGTGCGTGTTTCTGACTCTTTCTTGAGATTTATTTGAGATGGAATAAATGCGAGATTGAATTTCCCCAATTCCTTTATTTCGAGGAATGCGCATACCTGTGAGACCCCGGTTGAGAGCGAAGGTATTAAGCGTTTCTTATTTTTTCCTGAGGCAGCATCGCAAATTGCTTCATTAACTTATGCTGCTCATTCAATGGCAATAATCACATCGAAGGCGATTGGAAATTCACGCTGAGGAATGAAAACGATGAGCAAAAACGCGAATATTAACCTTTATTGGACGAAAAGTGCAAATGCTGTACCGCGACGACTTTAAAAATTTATCTCATACTTTTTTGTATTTTCTGTCTTTCCGATCTCAATGAACATTTGGCTTATGAACATCTGGTTGATAAGCCTGTTGCCCAGACAAAGTTGTCTCGTGTCGGGATTCAAGCTCATGTGATGTCATTAATGCCGACATTTATGTCAACAGTTTCTTTTTTGAGCCGTTGCGCCACTAAGCTGGCAAAAGTGTTTACGAGCTGCGGAGCTTCTTGGAGAAGCACTTGAGTCGTGCCCGATCTTCTCCTGCAGTATCCTAGCAACAGGAATAAGCGACGCAGTGCGGGGAGATGGGGAGAAAGGGCTTCCAGCCTCGGTTTGTGAGCCCAGGTTTAAAGGACGCGAAAAATCCGGCTGCCAGTGCTTACGCCGGATATTTAAACCCGTATAATAAAAGTTAATTGTTGAAATACTCAGCATTTTAACGTACAGCCTTCCCACAGATTTCATGCGGAACGTAAGCACAGTGGCGTCCACGTCATAACATCTGCATACCGACACGCGACGCAGCAAACAAGTTTTTTAAATTGACTTTTACCTTAGAGACACCTGACCCTTCCACACCGACGTGACGAGGTCAGCTCTCAAGGTCGTCCCCATCGGGGTTCCACCACTTCCTGACGTCGTGCAACTGCCGCTGTTGCGCACTCTTTCCATTGGAAGGAATCGCAGGGCGAATGGGACGGCTGGTTCGGCGAATGGGACAGGATGAGCGGTGGCATGCGGTCGAGCCGTTTTTCTTGCATCCGAGAAAAGGAGGTTGCAGCGACGGATGCTCCCGGGCCTTCTCATGCAGTGGCAACATTTCCCGTGCGACTTTCATCATGCCAATCGATGTCGGCTGAAGTGTCGGCTAATAAGTTGATCACTTTGATCGACCGATACTTTTTTTTCCCTTTTCGTCGCCGTACTTCACGTTGAAGGGACGCTAATGCGATGATGCAAGGTCAGGTTCAAGGTCAGGTACAAGGTCAAAGAAGGGCGAATTTATTAAATGATAGTTTTTGCCTCTGGCGGGGAGTAAAGACATGGCTCGGAGCAGGGCGTCGCGGTATGCCGGTATTTTCATCACACCGCGGCCGCCATAGCGTCACCGCGGTGTGAAAACCGTAGCCGACACCGCCTCTCGCACCCGAAGAGCCGCTTCCAAAAAAAAAAAAAATCCTCCTCATCTCCATCCACTTTGACGCCCACCGCCCGGGGGAAAGCCAAAGCCTTCCTAGAAGTCACTGGATTGGATTTAATTCCGGATCCGATTACCGAGATCCGTAATTAGCGGGTTTCCCTTCGAGCCTTGACTGCGCCCTCTGCTCGGTGTCCCCCGATCGCTCAACATCTTCACCATGTCTTCTGAGGACGTGACGACATTGGACGCTGACATCTTCCTCAAACCCAGTGCGACCTCATGGGTTCAGAGGTTTTTTTTTTGAAACGTGTGAAACGAGCAACCGCGCAGTTACCAAATGGTTTCTCTTCCCAAATTTTTTTTCTTCGAGCTCCATAACATGGAAACTCTCATCGCGGCGGAAATCATGCTCGCAGAATCATCAATTTGGGTGGAAACGATGGAATCCCCTTGTCGTTCAGTCGATCGGCGTGAATCTCGGACGCGCGACGCCATCGCAATGCAGAAGGACTCCCTCTCTTCTTGCGAAAAAAAAACCGGAGAAAAAAGTCCGAGATGAACCGAAAAAAAAATTAATCGCGGACGATTCGCGGAGGAGGCTCGTCGAATTGCGACTTGGAGGTCATAAGTTCCTCATTTAAAAGGCCATCCATTGTTTAAAGAACAGTACAGGGGATAATTCGTCAGCCTCGATCGATTGGTCATTGGTCATTGGTCATTGGTCATCGGTCATTGGTCATTGGTCATTGGTCATCGGTCATTGGTCATTGGTCATCGGTCATTGGTCATTGGTCATTGGTTAATGATCATTTGATTGGCCGATTCACGCTCTCGTTCGTCCGATTGCTTGGGCCTTGGATTCCGTGTCGACGATTTCCTTTGTGTCGGAAATTCCGTGCTGTTTTTTTTTTAATGGTATTTTAAGCTTCCGCGCCTCGCATCCGCATCAAAAATCTGAAAGTTCGAGTTTTAAAGGCTTTTCGAAGTCACGAGAAATTTGCTCGCGAAGAACCGCCGCAAGATTTCAGGAGAACTTCAGCCTGTTTTTTTTTTTTTTTTTTCTATTTCTTGAGCGGCTCAGTTTTCAGGCGCCCTTCAGCCTGTTTTTTTTTTTTTTTCTTCGATTTCTCGAGCGGCTCAGTCACGCGGCGAGTAAACGAAAATGAAATGCGAGTCAATTTAATGACTTAAAAATTATTTCTAATATAATTATTTCTAATATAAAAAATTATTCACATGAAGGCATTCTTGACCCGAAAGAAACGCAAAAATCAGGACGAAATTTTTCCGAAATCCCATCAAATAGTTTAAAACTTGAGTAATAAAAAAAGTTGGGCTCTTTTTATTCCAACTGAAACTCATTATTCACTTAATTCATGCAGCAGTTGTAAAAGTTTCCAAAAAAAAGAAAAGTTAAAAGTTTCCAAATTTCATTAGGAGCAAGCGTACGGCTTTTGGGAGACAGAAATTCAAGAAATTGGAAATTCATTCAAGAAATTGAAAATTCATTCAAGAAATGAAATCTGGTTGGTGCGAGAAGTGGGAAAAAGTTCTCGTTGAAGGCTCGCCAGGCTGAGGAGCTCCTCCCTGTGCGGAAGGCTCGAAGAGGTCCTTCCCTGTGTGGAAGGCCGAAGAGGTCCTTCCCTGTGTGGAAGGCCGAAGAGGTCCTGGAGCAAAGTGGTTCCTGCTTTGTCGGAAATCCTGAGTAAAAAAAAAAAATTGATTTAGTTCGTTCGGGTTGGAGTGTCGATGGCTTGCTCGACCTCGAATGTTGCTGATTAATTTCCTACGCTGTGGGTTGAACTCCATCGGCGGCTATGGCTGTAATGTGACAATACGGCTGGGATACGCGCGACACTAAGCCAACCGAAGCGATGATTTTGGAAGCATATGCAAATTCTTCAGACATTTCCTGTATATTTGTGCACAATTGATAAAGGAAGCAATCCCAGCATCCGTCACTGCCGCCATCCATCCTACTTTCATTCTCCGATCCATACGCCCTACGATTTCAACCGCCTTCTGCACCAGCCCGTGCGAAGGGATGCAGAGATGCGACGCGATGCCTTCCAATGGAAAGTGCGGCGGCAACCAGCGGCAACCAGCTGGAAGCGGTTCGACGCCGACGGGGGCCAGAAGGGAGGGGACCTTGTCGCCTTGTCCCGGAATGGTCAGGTGTCCCCGTAGTAAAGTAAAATTCTATGGTTGCTTCCTTGCTGTCGCTTAAGTATTGTTATACAGATGTACCATTATTACGTAGATCCCATTTTTCTTATGATCCACGTGTAATCCTTGGAAGGACTGAACGTGATAATGCTGAGCGTTTTAACAAAGAATCCTTCATCGTATGAACTTAAAACGCCAGCATTAGCGCTGGCAACCGGATCTTTTTGCGTCCTTCATACTTCATTATTCATAAACCAATACAGAATGTTTCCCCCCACTTTTCCCTGGACCTATTCCCCAAACTACGTCGCTCTTTCCATTTGCTTGGGTAATTTCGAGATAACCAGGTATGATTCGCATAATTTTCTATGGATCTCCAGGCTTCTACCAAGTTCGTAAATACCTGCTTGATAAGTGGTACAACAGCTATAAAAATAATTTATTGTGAGTGACGCCATTATTTGCGTAACGTGAGTTTGAATCCAACACGAGACAACTTTGTCGGGGCAATAGCGTTATGAGCAATGGAATTGACAGAGCGTACCAAAGAATCAAACATTATTTCAAGAAGTGGTGGTACTGCATTTGTACCTTTTATCCAAAAAAGTTTAAAAATTCGCGTTAGCTCATCGTTTTAATTCCTCATCTACAGGCTCTGCATGGGTTTCCCATTGCATTTGATGTGATTGATGGCATGGAAGAAGCAGCATTAGCTAATGGAGCAAATGTCAATGCTGTCGAATGGTTGTGACAAATGGGCGAAGCAGAAGGATCAAGGAAGGAGACTAGGCAATCAGAAGCAATCACTTAGTATCCTAAGGAAACGCGGGAGCGCGATAGGAAGGAGAGAGGAAACTATGGTGGACGATGACATCCACTTTCCGCCTCATGGCGTCTTGTGGATGCCCTCTTCGAGGCGAACCTTTTCGCGGTCTTCTCCGTGGATTTCCGCGTTCTCGAGTTCCTGGAATGCAATCGGACATGATGGGTAATTCCGTGGTTCATTCTCTTTGTGCAATCATGGAAACACTCGCTGGTGAAAGTCCCCCAATCCCTGCTGCAAAAGGTACTACTCATACGGCACCGTTCGATGTTAGCTCCTGGCCATACCTCATAAGTATATATAAATGATTTCAAGAGATTTAGGATGAGAGATCATTTATCAGAAAAGATCACCGTGCGCTTGACACTAGACGCGTTTCACAGGTAAGAAAAATATTTAATATTGCTTGAATTTTATTATTCGTTGTATCTTCATACCAAAACCACAATTACATTGAACAGGAAAGGATAAGCAGAGAAATTATATAATATGAACTATAATAATTAAGTTTCATTTGAAACGTGTACGGTGTTAAGCGCATAGTGGCTTTTTCGGGGGCGAAATTTTTTAAATCAATTTTCGAAAATAAAATTTTCTACTACTCTATTGCATATTGGGTCATTTCATCTTAAATCAATTTTAAAGGAAGAAATTTGACCTGACCCCCTTCGATTTTCATGAAATTTGCTGAGCTTGTAGAAGCTTTTCGAAAAACCATTCCTTGCCAAATCGCAACTCTCTAGCGATTTCAACGTTGCAAAAAGTGACCAATTTTGGGTTGCTTCGTCCTTAAGTGTTTATTACGTGCTCCCTTAGGTGCTCATACGTTTTGTTCTAATCGACATAGACAGCTGTAATTGGGGTCATTTTAAAGGGCTCTTCGTACCGCTTTAAATGATATATAGCTCAAGGGCATTTAATGAAAGTTAAGGTTAAATGTTGAGGGGTCAGTCCTTTGACCTTTGACTCCAGGAAAAAGGTAACAGTATAGAACCTTGACTCATAGGAGGATTCCAAGGGTTTAGCTTCTTTTTTTTTAAGGATTCGAGCCTCTTGCAGTGTTGGGACTGCCCTTTTCCATCATACCCGTTTCCTCTCCTACCGCCTTGGGATCAGGGTATGGGGGGCGGAAAGCGTATCATTCGAGGTGTCATTTGTCTCTAATTAGCATGTGAAAGGACGCGTGAAAGTGGCTTCGGTGCCGCCTGTCAAGGCGATGGCACACCCGCCGACAAACCCGCCTGGAAACGAGGAAACTCGCCAACACACGCAGAGTGGAGCAATGAGATAATAGCGCATAAATCGACAAGAATTGGCTGATAGCAGCGCGACCCCGCGTGCGGATGCACAGCTGAAGGCCACCTCCTGCTGGCGCGCAGTCGTCCCTCGTCGCGCTCGCGAGTGCGTGTGCGTGTTTCCATCTCGAGTTTCCGTGCTTCCTCGTGTGCGCTAAAATCTCTTCGAGTTTCCCGCCTTTGGGAAAAAGTCCAAGAGGAATGCCATACGAATGTATAGGAATCCTATAGGAACATATAGGACCTATAGGGTTCCTATAGGAATTTTATAAGTCCTATACGCATAATTTCCTATACGGAGTCCAATAGTAATCATGTGGGTATGTATTGGAATCCAATAGGTCTTCCATAAGACATAGAGGGTCCTTATAGGAAACCCCGATAGTCGATAGTCGGCATAGCAGCCACCTCTGGACCACCTGGGATTCGATTACTTGTATTTTCTCGTGTTGCAGATCTCGGAATAAAAAAAACCAGTCGGTGAAATAAATAAAAAATGAAGATTCCGATCGTGAAAGGATGCTGCTGCCGGTGCCTCAACAACAGGGAGGGCAGCATCGTCATCGCCGTCTTGGGACTGGTACGACCTCCTATTTCTTCCTCTCGTGATGAAATCCAGGCGGATGATCCAGGCGGATGATCCATCGGCAGATGGCGACCCGTGACCCTCGTACGACCCGGAAAACCGAAGTGGGGTCTTCGATCGCTTTGTGACTTTTTAAAGGGCGAACAGTCGAAGTAGAGAGCCGAATCGCGGGTTAAAATTAGCTCAGAAATTAGCTCAGAAGAAGTTAATTGATTTTTAGAGATGATGAGTTTATTTTGAGGCATAGGCAGAATCGACGTAGCTTGCATGGATCTTGTGTTAAAAGGCGCGTTCTTTGACGCGAAGTGCTCGGCGAGGCACGAAACGAATAAAATTTTTCCAAAAGATTCCTGGAAATGTGCGCCGGCCGATCTTTCCTTTTCGAAGATCTTCGCACGCCAAGTCTCAAGAAAGGAATAGAGAGAAGAAAAAAAACTCGTTTCCATTCCCGTCACACCGAGGAAAGCCCGGAAAATCCGGATTTTCCGGATCTAATCCGGATTTTCCTGATCTAATTCGGCGCCTATCCCTTTTGCAGGTCCATGCCATCTCCGTCGTCCTGACGAACCTGCCGCATCTCGTCAGGATGTCGCTCATCAGCGTGGAGTTCCATATGAGCGGTGGGTTCCCGGCAAAGTCTCTGATTCCTCGAACCCGCCGATTTCATTCCGGATTTCCGGAAACTTATAAATTCAGGCGTCGATGGAAGTTTCCTGCAAGAAATTCTGCCACTTCTCCGAAGGATCAGCCGATCATTTTTTTTTTTTTTTTGCTTTTCAGAAAATATTTACGCCAAGATTACCGACGCTGCCGTCTCCGCCGTATTCATCATAATGAATTCCCTTCTCATCCACGGAATTCGCAAGGTTCGACTCCAATTTCATGCGAGGGTCCAAAATTATTTTTAAAAAATAATTAAAATAAAATTGAAACCGACCATCAAGCTTGAGACGACCAAACTCATTAAAATTGATTTTATCTTAAATGTTGAGGATTTAAAAAGCTGAAAATTTTCAGTCGAACCGGAAGCTGATGATCCCGTGGCTGTGCGCGGCGCTCCTGCTCCTCGTCCTCATGGTGCTGGCCGCCGTCGCGCTGATCGTCCTCGCCGTCGTCGTCAGCGGGGGGGACTCGTACTGGACCGTCTCCCTCGTCGTCACGGGCGTCGCCCTCCTCGTCTTCTGTCCCGTCGGGGCCCACTTCTTCCTCGTGGTCTATGCCTACTTCAAGGTGAGGGGATCGTTCGATGCTTCGGGGTTGGATCGGTTTCTCGGTGTTCGCGGCCGGCCGGTTCGTTTGAAAGAAGGAATCGTGAAAACCTGACTAGCAGTCTTAATTAGGACTTGATTGAGATTTGGACTGCCGAGAATGTCTTGAGATGAGACATCAGATTTATCGCGCTGGGAGTTTTACATACAATCAGTTCATCGCGGGAAGACGAAAGCCTCCGTCTGAAGGGCATAGTTCTAAACTATTTAAATATTTTCAAATTAAAATTTAGAAATCGATATTACTTATGTACGTGAATGTCTGTGTGAGGCCGCTTCCCTGGACGGTAGACTCCTGCTACTAAGGTTGGACCTCGTGCTTCCGTGGGGTGGGGTATCAGGACGAAGGAGTTCGGTGATCCTGCGAACAAGGGGTCACAGGGCCGCCTTGGGTCACCTGGGTCATTTCTCATTCAAATTTTTTTTTTTTTTTTGGGGGGGGGGGGGGGTAGGGCCGCCTTGGGTCACCTGGGTCATTTCTCATTCAAATTTTTTTTTTTTTTTGGGGGGGGGGGGGGGGATCGCGAAGCTCCCTGAATTCGCTGCTGAATGCACCAGCTGGTTCGCTGCTGAAGAGAATACACAACGGAATTACCGATCGCCTCCGCTTTCATTCCAGGAACTCGAGAACGCGGAGATGCACGGAGAAGACCGCGAAAAGGTTCGCCTCGAGGAGGGCATCCACAAGACGCCATGAGGCGGAAAGTGAATGTCATCGTCCACCATAGTTTCTCTCTCTCTTATCGCGCTGTCGAGTTTTCCAGGATATCCAGTGATTGCATCTTAGAGCCGAGTCCCCTCCCTTGAACCTTCCGCTTCTCCCATTTGTCACAACCATTTGACAGCATTGAAGTTTGCTCCATTGGCTTATGCTGCTTCATCCTTGCCATCAATCGCTTCAAATGCTAAAGGAAACTCATGCAGAGGAATGAAAGCGATGAGCTAACGCGAATATTTACCACTATCGGACAATAGATACAAATGCTGTAAGTCGCCTCGTGTTGGATTCAAGCTCACGTTGCACAAATTATGGCGTCACTCACAACAATTTATTTTTAGAATTCAAATTTTTTTTTTTTTTTTTT